AAAACTTTGTTCCTATCTCCGTGTTACACAGCAACAGGTACGGCTAGAGTTTGAACTTGGTATCAACAACAAAGCGTTATCAGTAATATTGTTACATATCTTCAGATACAGTGCGGATAGTGTCTACCGTTATCTACAACACAACATCCATCATGTAAACTGATTTTCAAGAATGCACTGATTTTATTTCGGAAATGTAACTAAGTTGCCATTACCCGTGGTATGTACACGGTGTTCCTCTTAAATTACGCCGTTTTAACGCTAACTTTTTCAGAGTCAAAAACACATATTTACAGAAATATATCGGAAAAAAATCCCGGAAGAATTTAAATGCCTCACGTTGATTAATTTGTTGTTAATGACAGTCTGAGTCATACACTCACACACAGGCACATCCTCTCCTCTCTTCCTCAGTCGCATACCACCCTCCCCTCTCTCTCTCTTTCTGATCCATTCACTCACACGCATAAAAACCCAGAGAGATAGTGGGAACAAAATCAAAACAAAACTCTTACTTTTCAGTAGACCTCCTTCTGGACGTTGAAAGCTAAAACTTCACTTAAACGCTTCTCTTTTAAAAAGCGGAATCTGAGAATAATTATGTAACGCACAACAACCGCATTTGTTATTATTATTATTATTATTATTATTATTATTATTATTGTTATTATTACTATTATTTTGCGTTTGCCCCATATACCCAAGAGCTTTGAGTGCAGTGCAGTGAAGATTGAGACATATCGAGTTCCCTTTAAAAGGATCATTTCATGTGGGAGGTTGGACACAAAGTTTGGACTCGTGACTGGCATTCCAGAGAGACATGCATATTTTAAAATAACAAAGCAAGAAAGAAAAGGGGGCTTGGGAGGGTGAAAAAAAAACTTGGAAATAAGTTGCGAAGTGATGAACAGCTGTCTTCATGGCAGAAATTAAACACTTTCTGGCACCGCTTTATTACGCTGTTATGTGCAAGTACCAAAGTAAATAATGTGGCCAAAGACTCGAATGATCATTCGTAAACAATGCTGTAATGATGTAATGAAATAATGGGAAAAGTCAGTGTTAAGTTACATTTTCCTTATTTGTTTTTAATGTCAAATGGAACAGTTTCTACGTGGATGTCTTTCCTTCACTATGGTGTGTATATATATATATATATATATATATATATTTATGAACTGCATTTCTTTACACTCTCAATATCCCGACGGTGGTTTGATGACTATGTCCGACGGCTGTTGTCCTTCGCCTTGTTGTCAATGTACTGGGAATTAAGTAAACCTTGTTTTGGTCCACAGTAGTTGTCGTTATTCCAGTTCGTTCTCAGCGAAACAAGAAAAAGTGCATGCAGTCAATGTAAGTAATCTGTAAAATACACTGGTAATGACATACTAGTTAAATATTCAAAGTTGAATTTAATATTTAGGCATCATCAAATATCGTTAAATCTATAACCGGTTACAAGGCAACTGCATATTGGTGAAACGATCCCGTCTCTATTAACGTGGACATAGTCTGAATACTTTACCCCGTCTACGCCTACGTTCTTTTTGGCACAAAAAACCCTGTCCGTCGTAATACTGTCACATTATAGAATCTGTTATATCGTACGTTCAAGTTCAGTTTAAAAAATGAAGACAATTACATTGTTTTAAGATTAAAATCAAGCGGGGGAAAATGAGTAAGTGCATAAGTGTAGAGAGCTAGATATCTCTGTTACTTGTCAGTATCGGTTCATAAGCCGGGAATGCTAATGCGGGGAAGCAAAGCGGGATCGAGACTGCCCCCTCCCTCTAATCTCCGTCTCGTTCCCTCTTTTTCTCTTGGTGCTGTGGGAATCGATAGCTGACCCGATGGTTTGGCCAATGCTTTATTTATCTGGCCGAGCAATGATATTATCAGCCTTGAACGTTATATACAGCTAACGTCTTCCTAAATCAACACAAAAGGAACGCTTACACAGCGATCTATGCTCCCGCTAACCTCTCTGCTCCCCCACCCCCGCTCCCACCACATATACTCACAAACACATAGATATAGATAGATGGACAGACATATCCTGCATATTCATACACGTAAATAAATATTAGGAGCAGAAAGGTGGTGGAAATGTGTAAAATGTAGTGCTGGATTTTCTCCTCTACTTAAACTTGAAGAGGATGTTTATGAGCGAAAGGACTGGGCATCCATACCAGAACCATACCGCTAGCTCTGTTAGAACGCATTTCATTGAACTTAAGTTTAATGTCATATTCAATCGTATTTTTCATTATTAATAGGCTGTGTTGCTAAAGTTTTGCAAATCCTACATTGAAAAATGCTTAACATAGCCTATTACAGTGTGCTAAATTATAAGATAAAATGTTACAGCACTAAGCGCTACAGTATTTTCTTGCAAATTTATTTTACGTTCGGTTTTTCTTGACATTAACTTCTTTGTTAATTATTTCAGTGGCAACAGTCACATTAGATTATTGTATCCGAATGGCTAATGTGGTTTGGCGCACTAAAATATAAATCCTCTTCCTTATGATAGTCTGAAAATATGATTACCCACTGCTTGCTTAAATATAGTAAACATAAAATGCCATCCATCTACCTCTGTATAAAAACGGTTGGACGTCACCAATAATATAGTACGTTTTCACCGTTTAACAATACCCTATTATGAATGTGCCGACAATACTACGCTTTTCCCTAAACACATCCCGCCTCTAAAAGTGAAAAACGTTAATCGCAAATTTTCAAAAAGATCAGAGGTCACAATCGGGCTGCTTTTTAAGTTAAACTCTTTTTTTCCATCTCCAGCAACTCACATCTCGGTTAGGTATATACAAATTTCTGTGAAAGGTGTAAACTGTCATTATTTAAAACTAATGGCATTAGTTATGGCTGCCAATTAATTGTTTACGCACTTTGACTTCGACATAAATCTATCTAAAATTTCGTAGTAGCTCAGGAAACAAAGTTAAAAATCAAAACGTATGAAATGACACATTGCACGACATCACTGTTCCAAGTTTGCGTCTAATTATTCATTAGGAACGCGTTCTATTTCATTTAAACGGTTGTTTTAAAAACCCAACTACTGAAGGTTGCGAGAAAACAGGTCTATAAAAATAATATTTCCGACGGGGTTTTGAATCCCTTTTAAATACATTTGAGTGTGATATAATATATTTAATTACCAGGTGAAACTTTTAGTTAGAAGCAGTAAATATTCAGTTGGAACGCTACCATTATATTTTATGCAAGCACTGTAAATGTCAGTTTATAAAAATAACTAAATATGCTCCTCTTAGTTCTAAACGGTGCTTTTAAACACGAAATTCTTGAATTGAAACATTGTTTTACGCATTGCTCCATCATTTGCGTGTCTTCAACAATAACTGATGTGAATTCGACAATTTCAAGTCAAATGGTGCTGCTAGTCCTAATTAACACTGCAAAATTATACTTGATCCAAATGACAACTAATCGAAACTCACTTATATTTTTCCATCAGCTGCGTTTTACCCCGTGGTTCACACGTAAAAACGTACATACGTTAGTGAAATTGGTAAGAAGTCAATATATTGCATATGTTTATTTCATTTACATTATTCCGACCTGCGAAATGGATACAGCTTAATTGCAATTACATTAAAAGTAGCCTATATAGCATTGTCACCCAGCGGTATGTATTTCCGTGCTTGACACGTGAGAGTTGGAATTTTCGGCTTACGAGGAAATTAATAAGATCATTCAATAACAAAATAAGAACGAAAGTGAAAGGCATCGCATGCTACATTCATTTGCAAATGTTTTAATAATCGGCCATTGATTAGCTGCTGTATCCCTCCCCCACAACATAAAAACACAATCCACATATTTAACTGTGACACTATGTCTTCGTCTACCCAATTATATCACTGATCCATTATCTAGGAAGGAAAATCTATTTTAGTCAGTTGTACATAACATTGAATTTCTTTGGAAATGTATATATATATTTTAATCATTACATCGTAATATTCAAGATGGTGGACAAATGTGTGTTCCTTATTTAGGTACTGGTTGTTTATACTATACGTAGCTTAGTTATATTTCCCTATAAACAGAATTTTAATAACCTTGTATTCCATGTTGCCAAATTATCTTACGGTATGTCCAGCTACAAATTGGCACCTTTTATACCAGATTGAGATATTTTGTGGATACCCATATATAAATAACCAGATTTACACTATGATCAGCTATGGACGCAAAATAGAAAGACGTATTGCTATTAAGCATGCACCTTCATATGTTTCTTTGCTTTCCATGTTTAATCAACTTTGGGGCTGGGAATCTATATAGCGACGGTTTTTCGGTGACTGTGTGATATGGTTGTTTTTCATTGACCTGTCTACAGTAATCCTTTAAGCACGTGACGTTAGGGCTCATATCAACTATCTATGTTATGCTATTTCCAATACACACGGGCGCGCGTGCACGCAGATTTGCGACTTAGGAACCACGCTAAGTGGTGCTTACGTCAAAATCAAACAAAACCAATAATATGATTACTACTTATTAGTGGTTGTTCATTGTCAGCGAACATAGTGTAATTTAAAATTCTACCATTATGTCGAGAAAACTATTCTTTTGTCCAGTGCTTTTGGGAGAAATATGAAACATTAATTTGCCCACGCAGCTTTAGTGAGTGGCGCTCAAAGCTTATATTCAGTGTTTACTTTCGTTTGTGAACAGAAAGGGAATTAACTAACAAACCACGTATTTGGCAGTAGGCTATCCCTTGCAAGAAAAGAATGCAGTATAATACATACAAATATTACATTACGTCATTATCATTACCGCTAAAATCTATGGTCTATTTCAAAAAGTTATCCAAAGTAAACCAGCGGTTTCCTAGCGCACAGGCCTCCGCTTTTTTGTCTGTGCGCGATGCATGATTCCCCGTGGCTGTTTTGAAATATAAATTCTGTTTCAAGCATCACATGAAAATTCTTGAGAGCAAATCATTGTTGCCTACATCTTTTAATAGTACAGTCACCATCACACAACTCTTACCAAGCGATCCGTCCGCGAAAGCTGCATCATGGAATAAGCAAATCGAGGCAACAATCAATAAGATTCAAGAAACAATGAAAATTTCAAGACGAAACAAACAAAATGTATTTGAAATGATATATTAAAAGTGCTTTGTTTTCTTTTGTCTTTTCTTTTTGACAGATGATCGAATCCACACGGTCGCGATGAAGAAAAGTTTCACGTGTGATCTTTCCTTTAAAATGTCCATTGAGTTTGTTGCAGAACTCCGGGTCCGTAGGATCTTGAAAAAGTTCAACCATCAGTGGTAGTATTGTCATAGCGATTAGACAGTTTCTTATTTGCCTAAATTCCTTTATTTATTTTTTTTTGCTTTAATTTCTCACTTCAATTTTAATTCTTGGAGAACATAGCTTGGACAACATATCGCACTCATTGTAAGAAGCAAAAGGTTATATAAAAATTATTAGTATAGAATCACAGAAACCTGGTTTAGAACCAGAAAAATACAAAACAGAGAGATACATAGACACAGGACATTTTATAATTGCTTGGAAACATTATTTTCCTGCTAAGTCTTGATTCTTTTTACTGCGCATACGATGTTTTTCATTTTATTTTTTATTTTCTTTTATTTTTTTTTTTACAAAATGGAAAATAAAGACTAGTAATTTACAAAGAGTAGTGTTCTTGTAGACGAGAATGGATTTACACAGGCGTAAGTCCAGTTCCTTATTTTCTGTACATAATGTATTCCATTTCAGTCCACAAAACGTCCTGTCTTCTACGGTATTCTGCAATTGTGTCCTATATATAGTCTTCTTGTTCAGCTTGCTGCATTCAGGTCCTTTCTCTTTTCACTTTTTTATTTGGATCATTGGATGGACATATAAGGCCAGTTGAAGCTGCTCCCGGATAACAACATATCCCTGATGAGGGTTTCAATAGGAGTTTTACCTACCAAACGGACGAAGAACAGCTGCTCAATTACAGATGAAGAGACGGTGCGTAGAGAAGGCAGCCGCAGTAAAAGCTTGCCAAAGCGGCTGGGCTGGTTAGGGTACTGGCTTCGCACGTATTCCTCTAGGGCGCACTGCGACTTCTCCTGCAGGCTTTCGATGTGAGCCGCGTCTGACAGGCCACAAGCGTCTGAGCAGCCAAAACAAAACAAGAAAGCACTCAGGTTATCATTTAACTCAGATTTTCTTTTAAACTAGTATGCATATACACATATATTCAAGAATATTCTTTTGGAGAGAATACATTTTATTCCCACGAGGCGCATACCAGAAGACGTATATAAACTAGTCGATGTAAAGAAATATATGCAGATCTTGAGTTAAGAGAGTAGGAGGCATCGGCACTGTTTCGTTATTATCTAAGGTACTTCGAGATTTTTTGTTTTCCTTAGACGAACTATGCGAACTGGAAAATGACACAAAATAAACTGAATTACAATGGCAATGATTCTCGAATATGTTGGAGTTAAGTTCTTTTCATCTATGATTATACTCTATCTTGCCAAAAACAAGAAACAAACCGCCAAAAGCAAATCATTTAAATACACCAGAAGCGTGAATAAAGACGAGTCAACCTGAAGCACAAACCACAAACACGATTCATTTGAAGAAGTATAATAGCATTTAAAAAATCATCCTTACGTTTGTTGTGTTACGTCCCATTTACTAAGATATGCTCCGCATACTACGTATGTTTAAACAGAACGTTGTTTTACAATTACGATTAACGTGATAAACTTGTCGCCTTTCCCAGCAAAAATGTTACATATTGAAAACTGCTTCTGCTTGCCAATAGTAACATTTTTATGTTACTCTTATGTCCGCAGAAACTCGATATAAATGAGCAGAAACACTCATGTAAATGCATCGATATTAAGGCCTATATTCTCGTTACAGAAATATAACGAGCATTTCGAACTAAGCGCGACATTTCTAAATCCAATACTTTAAAGATTAGACATTAGGCCGTAAATGCATTTAGGGCGATCTTTATGTCTCAGGGCTGTAATTCAGTGTGGTCGGACACAATAACCTTGTGAACTTGCGAACTGTGCTGAGCCCGAGCAAAGATAAAGTGATTTACAGTGACCTTAAACTGAGGAATTCCATGTATACAAATCCATTTGGATTAGCAGTTAGCATATCTAAATATCTAGCAAAACTGTGAAACACAGTTGCTGCATTTTAAACTAGAGCTAGCGATGAGTGTGTACATCTACAAATAATAAAAATTATTCCCTTGACATGATACGTCAGCTGAAACCGATCTCAGTCACCGTGGGCCTAAATACAAGACTTGCAATGAATATATATATATAGTCTTGAGAAGTGTATGAAGTCATTAATCCCTACGACTTTGTTTACATTCCAGGCTTCCATGGTTCATTAAAAATTAAGAGGCATCCCATACATTTTTAATATTTGCTTGGTATTTCTCGGACAGTAAGAATTAAAATAATTTTATCTAATCTGGATGCCTTGCTTCATCTGGTCTGTCAACCTTTCCTAATGTCTGTGACGCCAACTATATCACGGTTTTATAGTATCACGCAATAAAGTATTTTCGACACTATGTCATTTGAGATGGTGGATGAATGCTAAAATCTGGTGACTGTGTACACGTATCTATAAGCAATAATGGGTTGCCACCGCTGCCCGCAAGAGATTGCACAAAGAATAAATAGGCAAACAAATGAAATTCATTACTGATGTACATTAAGCACGTATCACCACCTCCATAATATTGAATTATCAGAAATCCTAAAAAAAGTTTCAGAAAGTTTTCAAAAAACAAAATACAAAGTTGTCAAACAGGATTATTTAACTCGATATATAGTCTAAGGGTTCGGTTGCAGTCATTTATATAACACACCTAATATACTTTAGGAAATCTGCAAAATCACATTTCTCTTTACGAAGAATTCAAGTTATCCTTCCATTTACATTAATATCATTTAGATTAAGGACATCCAAGAAGTCTGCAAGGCCTACTTTTCTAAGTATGCACAACCCATGTCCAGTCTGTTGATTTATCAATGTCAAATACATCCACGCTGAGATTATAAAAGCACTGTAAAGCAGTTTAACCAAGAGCCATTTTAACTTCAATGACATTTTCCAAATACGATGTTATTTTAATATAAATAAATTGAGTGCTAATACGTAAACATACTCCTGACGTTATTGATCCGAGGGATGCTTATGTGCTTCGCCCAGGTAATAAAAAAAAACATGCGAAATAAACTTGAATATGACACACATGTAAGATTAAAATCGCTCTTATAAACAATAATATATAAACATAATAAAATACCCGTTGTTTTTTTCCCTTGGACGTCAGTAGTATGAGATATACGTCACATATGAAGTCACTTGAACTTGTTGCGAAACACTTTTCCCAAAAATATGCACATGGATTGCGTTAAAAAAAACTAAGCACACTTACTATAATTCTCCGAAAATGAACAAATTACTTTGCACGACACACTGACGCATTTTGTTTCTTGTCTCGTTAGTTACGACAATTAATAACAAACAAGACCATACACGTGTTGTGTAAACGATCCCACACAATGCCAATGTAAATTTACTCCACTTCCCCGATGCACTTACATAATCCATTTTACAGTCCCAGTATTTGTTTTGTCGAGAATAAACAAATAATATGTAGAAATGTACATTAAATCGACCTCGATTTGATTTGTTTTTTTCGTACTGCAATTGCACAGTGTACAAAACTGGACACAACGTCGTGTCGATCATGACGTGAAACAATTCATAAGGCATATTTGTGTCATTATCTTATATTCACCATTAGAGATTTAACAGTTGGTTTAATACTCACCTGATGTGAAAAGGACTATTGCCTTCATACAGCTGTACTCTGCTGAATCGACGTGAAGGGCCTTGAGCTTCTCAACTTGCTCCTGAAAGATACGAATGTGATCCATGAAAGCCACGACCCGGTCCGCAGACATCGGGGAGGCGTGGAGGCCAGCAGCGGCGAGTAGAGGGGCCACATGCAAGGGCATGGAGCACTGAGCCGCGTTAAGCACAAACAACTCGCTCCACGTCAGCCTGAGAAGAGACACCTGGTCTGTAATTTGCAAATCGGGGAAGAAAGGGATGTTCCTGGCCCATTCCACAGCGCTGAAGAGCAAGCGAGCTGCCAGTTCGCAGATGTTCTCGATACCCATGATATTGTTGGGCTGCATGCACTGGCTGCCGTATCG